CCACTTAATGAAAAAACTCGTTTGATGTTAGTTTTTTTTTTTTTATAAAAAACCCATAAAATTTCCAAAAATAATTGCTTATATCCCTTCATTTCAAAAGCACCTTTTTGGTAGATTTTTAATACATTCTTCTAACAAATTTAAATGATTGGTCAGCTTTTATCGTGTTTCTTGAGTGTTTTTTTTTTCTGTCTGTTATCTACGCCTTAAAATCTTTAAACACACACTATACAAAATTTTAGGTTTTTAGGCCGCGAAATTACAAACTTCCTGTATCGAGAGGTTTTAAAACGCCGTTAAAGTAGCCGTCTAAAATCTAAAGAATTGTTGTTGAATTTGTCTATTGGCTGGGTGTTAAAGATTTAGTTGGTTTTTATCTTTTTTAAGCTTTAGTCTGAAATCTCTTAGCTACCTAATAATAATTTTGTTGTTATAATAAGTTAAAGCTTTAAAGCAGGTAGTTTTCAAATATCTTAAAAATTTGAAATATAACATTTTATTTAATCTTTTCTTATCGTTCATTTAATTAGTTGAGCTGTTTAATAAATTTTAACAAAAAAATTTAGATAAAACGCCACATGAAATTGACACCTTTAATAATTTTCTAAGAATAATTGAATTGATACAAAATAAAGTAGCAAATCAAACTGTAGACTAAATCAAAAACCAGGATATAGAATACACTATAGTGCAAAGTATAAACCAGACTATAATACAGACTACACTATAAACTTGACTATAGACTAGACTATAGACTAGACTATAGACTAGAATATAGACTAGACTATAGACTAGACTAGACTATAGACTAGACTAGACTAGACTATAGACTAGACTATAAACTAGACTATAGACTAGACTATAGACTAGACTATAGACTAGACTATAGACTAGACTATAGACTAGACTACAGACTAGACTATAGACTAGACTATAGACTAGACTATAGACTAGACTATAGACTAGACTATAGACTAGACTATAGACTAGACTATAGACTAGACTATAGACTAGACTATAGACTAGACTATAGACTAGACTATAGACTAGACTATAGACTAGACTATAGACTAGACTATAGACTAGACTATAGACTAGACTATAGACTAGACTATAGACTAGACTATAGACTAGACTATAGACTAGACTATAGACTAGACTATAGACTAGACTATAGACTAGACTTTAGACTAGACTTTAGACTAGACTATAGACTAGACTATAGACTAGACTATAGACTAGACTATAGACTAGACTATAGACTAGACTATAGACTAGACTATAGACTAGACTATAGACTAGACTATAGACTAGACTATAGACTAGACTATAGACTAGACTATAGACTAGACTATAGACTAGACTATAGACTAGACTATAGACTAGACTATAGACTAGACTATAGACTAGACTATAGACTAGACTATAGACTAGACTATAGACTAGACTATAGACTAGACTATAGACTAGACTATAGACTAGACTATAGACTAGACTATAGACTAGACTATAGACTAGACTATAGACTAGACTATAGACTAGACTATAGACTAGACTATAGACTAGACTATAGACTAGACTATAGACTAGACTATAGACTAGACTATAGACTAGACTATAGACTAGACTATAGTCTAGACTATAGACTAGACTATAGACTAGACTATAGACTAGACTATAGACTAGACTATAGACTAGACTATGGAGTAGACTATAGACTAGGCTATAGAGTAGACTATAGAATAGACTATAGACTAGACTATAGACTAGACTATAGACTAGAATACAGACTAGACTATATACTAGACTATAGACTAGACTATATACTAGACTATAGACTAGACTATAGACTAGACTATAGACTAGACTATAGACTAGACTATAGACTAGACTATAGACTAGACTATAGACTAGACTAGACTATAGACTATACTATAGACTAGACTATAGACTAGACTATAGACTAGACTATAGACTAGAATATAGACTAGACAAAACTAGCAAATAGCTAGAACAGAACTATAACAGAACTAGCACAGAACTATAACAGAACTATAACAGAACTAGAACAGAACTAGAACAGAACTAGAACAGAACTAGAACAGAACTAGAACAGAACTAGAACAGAACTAGAACAGAACTAGAACAGAACTAGAACAGAACTAGAACAGAACTAGAACAGAACTAGAACAGAACTAGAACAGAACTAGAACAGAACTAGAACAGAACTAGAACAGAACTAGAACAGAACTAGAACAGAACTAGAACAGAACTAGAACAGAACTAGAACAGAACTAGAACAGAACTAGAACAGAACAGAACTAGAACAGAACTAGAACAGAACTAGAACAGAACTACAACAGAACTAGAACAGAACTAGAGCAGAACTAGAACAGAACTAGAACAGAACTAGAACAGAACTAGAACAGAACAGAACTAGAACAGAACTAGAACAGAACTAGAACAGAACTAGAACAGAACTAGAACAGAACTAGAACAGAACTAGAACAGAACTAGAACAGAACTAGAACAGAACTAGAACAGAACTAGAACAGAACAGAACTAGAACAGAACTAGAACAGAACTAACAGAACTAGACAGAACTAGAACAGAACTAGAACAGAACTAGAACAGAACTAGAACAGAACTAGAACAGAACTAGAACAGAACTAGAACAGAAACTAGAACAGAACTAGAACAGAACTAGAACAGAACTAGAACAGAACTAGAACAGAACTAGAACAGAACTAGAACAGAACTAGAACAGAACTAGAACAGAAACTAGAACAGAACTAGAACAGAACTAGAACAGAACTAGAACAGAACTAGAACAGAACTAGAACAAGAACTAGAACAGAAACTAGAACAGAACTAGAACAGAACTAGAACAGAACTAGAACAGAACTAGAACAGAACTAGAACAGAACTAGAACAGAACTAGAACAGAACTAGAAACAGAACTGACAGAACTAGAACAGAACTAGAACAGAACTAGAACAGAACTAGAACAGAACTAGAACAGAACTAGAACAGAACTAGAACAGAACTAGAACAGAACTAGAACAGAACTAGAACAGAACTAGAACAGAACTAGAACAGAACTAGAACAGAACTAGAACAGAACTAGAACAGAACTAGAACAGAACTAGAACAGAACTAGAACAGAACTAGAACAGAACTAGAACAGAACAGAACTAGAGCAGAACTAGAACAGAACTAGAACAGAACTAGAACAGAACTAGAACAGAACTAGAACAAAACTAGAACAGAACTAGAACAGAACTAGAACAGAACTAGAACAGAACTAGAACAGAACTAGAACAGAACTAGAACAGAACTAGAACAGAACTAGAACAGAACTAGAACAGAACTAGAACAGAACTAGAACAGAACTAGAACAGAACTAGAACAGAACTAGAACAGAACTAGAACAGAACTAGAACAGAACTAGAACAGAACTAGAACAGAACTAGAACAGAACTAGAACAGAACTAGAACAGAACTAGAACAGAACTAGAACAGAACTAGAACAGAACTAGAACAGAACTAGAACAGAACTAGAACAGAACTAGAACAGAACTAGAACAGAACTAGAACAGAACTAGAACAGAACTAGAACAGAACTAGAACAGAACTAGAACAGAACTAGAACAGAACTAGAACAGAACTAGAACAGAACTAGAACAGAACTAGAACAGAACTAGAACAGAACTAGAACAGAACTAGAACAGAACTAGAACAGAACTAGAACAGAAACTAGAACAGAACTAGAACAGAACTAGAACAGAACTAGAACAGAACTAGAACAGAACTAGAACAGAACTAGAACAGAACTAGAACAGAACTAGAACAGAACTAGAACAGAACTAGAACAGAACTAGAACAGAACTAGAACAGAACTAGAACAGAACTAGAACAGAACTAGAACAGAACTAGAACAGAACTAGAACAGAACTAGAACAGAACTAGAACAGAACTAGAACAGAACTAGAACAGAACTAGAACAGAACTAGAACAGAACTAGAACAGAACTAGAACAGAACTAGAACAGAACAGAACAGAACAAAACAGAACAGAACTAGAACAGAACTAGAACAGAACTAGAACAGAACTAGAACAGAACTAGAATAGAATTAGAACAGAACTAGAACAGAACTAGAACAGAACTAGAACAGAACTAGAACAGAACTAGAACAGAACTAGAACAGAACTAGAACAGAACTAGAACAGAACTAGAACAGAACTAGAACAGAACTAGAACAGAACTAGAACAGAACTAGAACAGAACTAGAACAGAACTAGAACAGAACTAGAACAGAACTAGAATAGAACTAGAACAGAACTAGAACAGAACTAGAACAGAACTAGAACAGAACTAGAACAGAACTAGAACAGAACTAGAACAGAACTAGAACAGAACTAGAACAGAACTAGAACAGAACTAGAACAGAACTAGAACAGAACTAGAACAGAACTAGAACAGAACTAGAACAGAACTAGAACAGAACTAGAACAGAACTAGAACAGAACTAGAACAGAACTAGAACTAGAACAGAACTAGAACAGAACTAGAACAGAACTAGAACAGAACTAGAACAGAACTAGAACAGAACTAGAACAGAACTAGAACAGAACTAGAACAGAACTAGAACAGAACTAGAACAAACTAGAACAAAACTAGAACAGAACTAGAACAGAACTGGAACAGAACTAGAACAGAACAAGAACAGAACTTTTCAATTACGTATGTTTAATACTCAAATACCACGTAGGCCGTGCATTAAGTTTAGGGCAAAATTTAATTTTGTGGGTAGATTTTTCTCTATATAGTTATTGTTGCTTTTAACTTTCTTGTTGACCCTCTCATGTCCCTTAAGGTTTTGTTCAATTAGTCTGTTTGTTATAAAATTATTATTCTAGTCCTTATTTGAATAGTAATATTTACAATTATATTATTGTAAGAAACATGTAATATGTCCGGTTAGTTAGTAAACTCTTATATGACTGAAAGGAAGTTAAGAAAAGAAGCAGCACTAAATGTTTGTTATATTAAAAATTATTATAATAAGTGGAATTTTAAAGCAGATTTTTACACAGAAAATTGGATTTAAATTGCAGGCATTGAACTGGACAGATCGGAGAGATAGTAATGACTATAGATTGCTATTAAATCAGACAACTTCAGATAACAATGATACTGAAAGAATTACAGATGTAAGCAGAAAAGAAACCACAAGTCATAAAAACCATTTGTTAGCATTGAATACCGATTTCGAGGAATCTAATTGGGGTCTTCAAGATATAATTAAACAGGCTTTTCGTATATTAAAACTGGAAACTTTGGTGTTATTTGCTGAATGTGAAAATCATCTACAAATCCTTGAGAATGTTGAAAATTTTGAATACAATAAAATCATTATAACTCAGCTTCAAGATAGACCTTTAAGAGAATGGATTAGCGGTAATATACTAAGCATAGTTTTCATAGATGGACCGGAAATAAATGACCAGATTTTAAACATTTTAATGCAATCTTTGGAAAGATGGCATATGAAAAAGTTGCTGCTAATAAGCCAGACTTTAACTATAGAACCTGTCGACCGATGGCGGAAATTATTGCAATGTCTGTATGAACAAGGATTCTGGAATAGTTTGCTAATAGACCAACAAGCCAATACTCTAACAATGGATCCTTTCTCCTTGGAACTGCTAAAAAATAACATAAGTATAGAACTGTTTTTGCAATTAACTATTGATTGGAAGGACTTACAAGGTTTTCCGGTACAAGTCTCAATGGCGAATAACCCGCCTAGGGCCTTACTCTACTATGATGCTAAAAATCGTCTACAATTAAAAGGCCTCTTTGGTAACTTAATAAATCTATTTGCTCAAATCTACAATGCCTCCTTAGTTCCTCATCAGATATCAAATTTGGATTATTATAGAGAATTGGATTGTTTAAAATATATCGCGGAAAATAAAGTGGATTTATGTGGTGATGCCATGGCTCTAAATCCTCAATATGTTATGTCGAAACCGGTAATAATTGCCCGCAGTTATTTAATGGTACCCTATGATAAACCTTTGCCTCAAGTGTACTACTTCTTTAAACCCTTTCAAACCTATGTGTGGTATATACTGTTGCTGGCGTTTATCTTTAACGTCATGGCTTTAGCTTTAATACATCGTCTGCAGCATAAAAGCTGGTCATTTTCTCTACAACTACTCTATGTTTGCTTATCCTTTATACATTTACCCTTTCAGCTGAAAAGGCTTAAGGGTCCTCTGCGTCGTCATTGGGAAATGTTATTGATTTTAATGGGTTTTGTTATCAGCAATTGGTATTTGTCTCTTCTCGCCAGTCTGCTATATACACGTTTATATAGTCAAGATATTCAAAGCTTACAAGATCTACAACGTCTCAATATATCCATTATGGTTAATGAATTTGAATATTCTCTGCTAAATGTGTCTGCTGTAGATCCCATAATCATGCAACAATTGCTATTAGTAGCCGATAATGTTTTGCTTGAAAATCGCCGCAATTTAAATCCCCATTACGCCTACTACAGCCAATATGACAAGAACAGTTTCTATTTGCATCAGCAAAAATTCCTGCTACGTCCCATTATGAAGGAATTGAGCAAAGAGCCCATCAATTCAGTTCTGGGCGGTATACCTATGCGCTACAATTGGCCTTTTGAACACTTGCTTAATAATATTATGGATCATATTTTGGAATCAGGTCTATTTGATCGTTTACTTCTGGATTCTCTAGAGGATGGCATACGTTCGGGTTATTTGAAATATTTTGCCACTGAACATTGTTATGTGGTACCTTTAAGTTTGGAGTACTTTCAAGTGCCGGGCATTATTTTGGCGTTGGGTTGTTTAATGGGTTTCGTAAGTTTTCTAATGGAAATTATGTATTTTAAATGGAATGAAAATAAATTAAATAAAATTTAATATTTAAGATTGTTTAAGTTCTAGTTTAGTTTTAGTTTTGTTCTATTCTAGTTCTGTTCTAGTTCTGTTCTAGTTCTGTTCTAGTTCTTAGTTCTGTTCTAGTTCTGTTCTAGTTTTGTTCTAGTTCTGTTCTAGTTCTGTTCTAGTTCTGTTCTAGTTCTGTTCTAGTTCTGTTCTAGTTCTGCTATAGTTCTGTGCTAGTTCTGTTCTAGTTCTGTTCTAGTTCTGTTCTAGTTTTGTTCTAGTTCTGTTCTGTTCTAGTTCTGCTCTAGTTCTGTTCTAGTTCTGTTCTAGTTCTGTTCTAGTTCTGTTCTAGTTCTGTTCTAGTTCTGTTCTAGTTTTGTTCTAGTTCTGTTCTAGTTCTGTTCTAGTTCTGTTCTAGTTCTGTTCTAGTTCTGTTCTAGTTCTGCTATAGTTCTGTGCTAGTTCTGTTCTAGTTCTGTTCTAGTTCTGTTCTAGTTTTGTTCTAGTTCTGTTCTGTTCTAGTTCTGCTCTAGTTCTGTTCTTGTTCTGTTCTAGTTCTATTTGGTAGAAAATAAAACACATTTTATTGAAATAATCTCTTTAATTCGACTGTTTTTATTTAAAAGATTTTTCTTTAAAACTCCTTAAACACGAATAGTTCCAAAAGAAATCCCCCCAAAGCCAAACTGTAACCCACGGCCAAAAGCATGGCTGGCATTTGAAAATATTCAATAGACAAGGGCTCCACATAATGATGCTCGGTGGGGAAATAGTGCAAATAACCCGTCAAAATACCCTCTTCTCGAGCATTTACCAATAGCCGTTGATACAAACCACTTACTGCTATACGCCTCATAAAATCGTTAAGCAAATGTTGAAAGGGCCAATTTGGACTCATGGGTATGCCGGCTAAAGCTTCATTTATAGGTGGTATACCAGTTAAAACTTTCATATGTGGACGTAGTAAAAATTTTTGTTGATGTAAATAGAATTCGATTTTATCCGATTGACTGTAATAGGCATAATGAGGATCCAGATTACGGCGATGATGCTGTAAGACATCATTGGATACCACTATTAGTTGCTGCATTATAATGGGATCATTATCGGTGATATTTAGAAGATAAACATCGAAATCATTAACCATGATGGAGATGTTATGATGAGCTAAGTCTTCTAGGGTTTTAATATCATGGGAATAGAGACGAGCAAAGAGAAGACTGGATAATACGGATAAATACCAATTGGCCACCACAAAACCCACTAAGATCATGATTAGTTCCAGAAACTTACGATAGGGACCTTTGACTTTAGTCAAGTGAAAGGGCAGAAACATTACCGACAAAGTGGCATATAGGATCTGTTGACTGGCATTCCAGGTGCCATGCTGCAGACGATGTATAAAGGCGAGTGTAATGACCTTATAGAAAAAACTACAATTCACTATGGTCCAGACATGCAGTTGAAAAGGTTTCAGAAAGTAATAAAAACGAGCCAAAGGCTTATCATACGGCACCATTAAATAACTGGCTGAAACCTCTTCCGGTTGGGTTATCACATATTCGGGATTAATGGTTAAAACATCACCGCATATATCCACTTTACGTTCTTTAATATATCTCACACAATCCAGTTCGGTATAGTAATCCATATCGGTTAAAAGAAAGGGTTTTAACGAGGCATTATAATACTTGGCAAATAGATTTATAATGGTGCCATAATAACCCTTTAAAGAAACTTCATGAGACCCGTCATGATATATATAAGTCCTGGGAGGATTAGAGCCCATGGAACAGCGTATGGGAAATCCCTTTAGATCCTTCCAATTAATGTTGATTTGCAAAAATTCGGGGAGTGTAAGATCCCTTATAAATTTCTTTGATAAATTAACAAAAGCCAAGGAATTGCCTTCTAAATCCATTAGTAAACTATTCCAGAAACCTTGAACATGCAGCCAGTTAAAGAATTGCTCAAATCGTTGAGATGGATTAGGGCTTTCGGTAATGGGGTTTTCAGTTATGAAAATGACTTTTTTCAAACGTCTTCTATTCAAAGATCTCTTAACAGTATTTAGCAGCGTTTCATCTTTAGACGCCCGAGAGTCCAGAAACACCAAACTTAATATATTACTGCTGAAAAAGTTCCTTAGTTCTTGCTCTTTAAAGTCCGATATTATTAAACGAGGCGGATGTTGTAAAGTAAAAATGGGTGAAAATTTCCCTAAGGCTTCTTCAGAGCCAAATAAAACTATAGTGTCTACTTTGAGGAAGTTTTCTAGAGTTTTTAATTTCTTTAAAGTTAAATTTTCCTCCAGAATTTTCAAGATTTTAGGGGGATTTTTCAAATCCCTAAATTGATTTTCCCTTAACTCTCGCGAATGTTTTAAAATATAATTCCAGTTTACTTTATTCTCGGTTTTTATTAATGAGGTTCTTAAGTTATTGGTATTTAAAGAAATTTTGCTTTCACCCTTCAATTCTTGAGATTTAAACGTTTTGGTATTTCGTTTCGGGGAATATTCGCGAATTTTTCCTAAATCTTCTTTATCCTCAAGTGATTTTATGAAATTTGATCCCAAATTCTTAGATTTTGAAACCAAATTTCTTTTATTCTTAATTTTTTGTGTTTTCAAATTTATCCAATTGAGATTTGGGGAATATTCGCGAGTTTTATCGAAATTTACTATATTTTCTTTTCGTATCAAGGAAGTGTTTGAAGTTGATCTTATAATCCTGGTAATTAAATCTTCTTGTCGCTTCTGGTAGAATTTTTGAGGTTTAAAACTGGTTCTTTTTTCCATAGTTTTCCGGGAATATTCGCGAAAATGTTGGAAATCTGCTTTATTATCATTTGGGTTGAAGGTACTGATTAAATTCGTCTTCAGATTCCTCATGTTTACAGCAACCTTAATTTCACTGGTCAATTTTTGATGTTTAAAAGTTTCACGTAACGAATTTGAGGAATATTCGCGAATATGTTGCAAATCATCATTATTCTGTTTTCTTGTCATGAAAGTAGCTGAAGCTGAACTCATATCTTTTGTATTTAAACCTCCATTCATAAGATTGGCGAATTTTTTCGATTTAAGGCCTGTTTGGCAATTTGCTGGAATTGTTTTCACGGAATATTCGCGAGTTTGCTGCAAATCTGCTTTATTCTCGTTTAAATTTAAAGAGCTAATGAAATAATTTTGTTTATTGGAAACATAGTTACTTTGACTCGTGAATGTTTGAGGTTTAGTACTTTCACGAACAGAATTTAAGGAATATTCGCGAATCTCTGGCAATTTTGCAGCTTTAAACTCCAAAAAATTTTCTTTTGTATAAGAATTTGCCACCATTTGCTGTTGCTCTAATTGTGCTTGATGTTCAGCCATAACAATCAAAACTATGAATCCCCACATGAGAAATTTAAAACAATTTATCATTTTCTTTAGCTTGGTTTTGGCCTTAGAGCCGTTTTTATTTGACAACCACCTATTGCAAACGTTGAAAGTAAAACTAAATGTTTTTTCCACATGGAAAACTTTGTGTACTAAAGAGTGCTAAATGTTTTTTTTAAGACCTGTTGTTCTAGTGGCATTTATTTAGTTAATTATTTTTTTATAGCGATAATAACTTTATTGTTATAGCGTTTAATTAATTGTTTCAATATATTAACAGTATAAATTGAAACATTACCAACCCCTTGTTTAAGGGTTATTATTTAATAACACTGACTAGACAAATATTGTAATAAATTAATAATACATTTTTTTTGTAATAAAAAATTAATTCAATAAATTTTCTCTTAAACAGGGGGAAATTTATAATTTCAATAAAATTTTCCCTGAATTCTTAGGAAAAGTACAAATTTGTAGCAAAAAATATAACTTTTTAAATATTTTGAACTTATATCAAATTTCCTATAAATTACTTTAAAGAAATTCCCTTTTAAACCATTTTATGTTAAAATCGCGTTGCCAATTTTGTTTAAATTTCTAGTTTTTCTAAAGATTTCTACAAATCCTAAAGTTTTTCATTATATTTTCAATAACAAATACATTTTTCTGCATTTAGCATAAATTTTACAAAATCGCATTGCCAATTTTCTCTAAATTTCAAGTTTTTATGAAATATTTTCCATAAATATGAAACATTTGGTTATATTTGTTATAAAAAAGAAATTTTCTTAAACAATTTATAGATTTTAAACTGTTTTAGTCCAATTTTTGCATACTCGCGTTGCCAATTTTTGTCAAAATTTTATCTTTTTATGAAATATTTTAAAAAACTATTAAACGTTTTGTTATAATTCTTATAGAAATTTAATTTTTTTTAACAATTTTTCGATTTTAAGCTTTCTAAATAAAATCGCGTTGCCACTTTTGGCTTAACTCTAATTTTTGCTTCAATATCTTACAAATATTAACGTGTTTTTGCTTAAATTCTAATTAACAATTATATTCTCTAGAATCTATTAAAAAAATCATGATTTAGAACTATTTTCTGAATAATCGCATTGCCAATTCTTACTAAATTGTTATTTGTGTACTATTTTTCCAGAAATATTAACATTTTAGGGCTTCAGTCTAATTCAAATTTATTTTAATTAGCAGTAAGTAACTTAAATCAACTGATTTTAAATAGTTAATTTTATATGTGTTTATATGAAAGAGTTTGCGACAAATTACACCTAAGTTTTCCCGAAATATTAGCATTTTGAATATTTCGCATTGCCAATTATCTCAATTTTTTTATGGTTTTAGTAACTTAAACCAATTTTTTTAAAGTTTTCTTTCTAAATTTCTTTAATTTAAAGCGTTTTTTATGCAATTCACATAAGTTTTTCTGAAATATTAACGTTTTGAATATTTCGCATTGCCAATTTTTTATGTTTTTATTAACTTAAATCGACTTTTTTAAAGATTTCTTTCTAAATTTCGTTAATTTAAAGCATTTTTATGCAATACACTTAGGTTTTTTTTGAAATATTAGCATTTTTAACATTTCGCGTTGCCAATTTTTAGGGAATTTTAATGTTTTTAGTGCTTTAAATTAAGTTTTTTGGGCTTTTTCTTTTTAAATATGTTTATTTTGAAAATTTAGCTTTAAAATGCTCTAAAATTTTCTTAAAAAATTGGTTGTTTTGAAAAGTCGCATTGCCAATTATTTGTATATTTTAGATTTTTAGCCTTTTAAATAAAGTTTTTAGCAGTTTTCTTTTTAGTTTTCACTAGTTGAAAGAGATTGGTTTCGGATATATTTAATTTTTTGTAAAATTATGGCATTTTAAAAAGTTCGCCTTGCCAACTAAGAATTTTTTGAAAAATTTCAAAATTTGACTTAAATTTCTGGGTTTCATAGGAGTCTAAAGAGCTAAATAAATAACATTTGTGGGAAATTAATGAATTTTGAAAAGTTCGCATTGCCAACGAAGAATTTTATTTCAAAAATTTGAAAATTTTTTCGCAATTTCAGGTTTTATTAGGTGTTGAATGTGATTAAAGGATAAAATTTGTGGAAAATTAAGGTATTTTGAAAAATTCGAATTGCCAACTAAGAATTTTATTTCAAAAATTTTAACATTTTATTGCAATTTCAGGTTTTATGAGGTATTTAATGAGTTAAATGAATCTAAATTGCCAACTATGCTTTTTTTTAAAAATTTTTAAAATTTTACCGCATTTCAGGTTTTCATAGGGGTTTAATGAGGCAAATAAATAAAATTTCAGTTTGTATGAAGTATTGTATGACTTAAATGAATCTAAATTGTAGGGAATTAAGGCATTTTGAAAAATTGGCATTGCCAACTATGAAATTTAAAAAAAAATTTTAATTTCATCAAAATTAATAAAATTTGTGTGAAATTAAGATATTTGAAAAGTTCGCATTGCCAACTATGAAATTTTTTAAAAAAATTAAAAAATTTTACTTAAATTTCTGTTTATATGAGGTGTTTAGTAATCAAAAGTAATGAAATTTGTGTAAAATTAAGATATTTTGAATAGTTCGCATTGCCAACTAAGATTTTTTTCAAAAATGTCAATATTTTATTGCAATTTCAAGTTTTATGAGGTATTTAATGAGTTAAATGAATCTAAATTGTAGGGAATTAAGGCATTTTGAAATTTTCGCATTGCCAACTAAGAAAATTTTTTCAAACATTTTAAGATTTTACTGCAATTTCAGTTTGTATGAGGTGCTTAATAAGCTAAATAAACAAAATTTGTGGAAAATTATGATATTTTGAAAAGTTCGCATTGCCAACTAAGACATTTTTTCAAAAAATTGATAATTTTACTTCAATTTTAGGTTTTATTAGGAGTTTAATGAAGTAAATAAATACAATTTTTTAGATTTTATTGATTTTGTAATTAACCGCGTTGCCAATTTTTGACATTAAACTAATTTTGAAATTTATTCAATAATTTTTGGAATTTTTTTTGAAAATTTTCAATATTTTTATTTAAATTTGCTCTTCTCTCTCTAATCAACAAGTTGCTTTGTTGTTTTGTTTATCTCTCAACATCTGTAGACGACAATTTTGTTGAAAATAAAACCAAATAGTTTGTTTTCAAAAAATATAAATCTTAAAGAAAAAATCCTCAAGTTTATTTTTGGATTTCTCAAAAACACAACAAAATCTTCTACATCCACACCGTTTGGCTCCCGTTTAAAAAAAATTTTGTTTCTTTTTAATTTTCTATAGTTTTCGTTACATTTATTTTTAGCTTTTACGGTGGCCGTCTGTCTATTTGAATTTGTCTCATTTTGGGGTATAGTTTGGTATTGCAAAATTTATGTATAAGTGTGTTTTCTTCACGACTACAAGGTACTATTTAGATGGGTTTTACTTTGCCCCTTTAATTTTGTTGTTTTTTGCCTCAAACTTTATGTGACAATTTCGTTTAGGGAACCAGCAACATTTTTGTTTTTGTTTGTGTTTTACTTTTCATTTAAAAAAGGTATTTTTAAAGATTTGTTGTTCTGTTGTTAAGAAATTTATCGTTTAGTGTTCTTTTCCATCAAACATTCTTCCCCTCTTTTTTTGTAAGAAGAAAAATTAACGTTTTAAGCTAAAGGAACCTAAGTAAGGCATTAATTATGTTTCGAAAAATAGCTCTCTATATAGCTAAATGTTTAAGAAGCTATTTTTGTTTTAATTTTTATATATTGATCACTTTTGAAATGTTATTGGGGGGGTCGTCTTTTTTCACTTTTGGTCTACAATGTATTGCGTAAAAAGTTAAGGCGCCCATTTGGCCATAAATCATGACAAATTAAATAAAATATATGATTTAAATTTATTTAAATAAAATAAATTTTTTGAAAATTTGAAAATTTTTTGCTTAAAATGTTATAAAAAGTGTTTTAAAATGATTTTTGAAAATTTTCCTGCATTTTACACCCTCTTAAACAAAAAGTACTTTTTGGGCATTTTGGTACTTTTTGTTAAATTTGGCTTAAAATGCCTTAAAAAGTGTTGTGAAATGATTTTTAGTATAAAGTTATACATTTTAGTACTTTCTTTGCTAAAAAGTACTTTTTGCATTTAGCTATTTTCTGCAATTTTTTGCTTAAAATGAGATAAAAGTGGAAAGAAATGATTTTTTGGTAAATAGTTAATAGTTAGTAAAGAATTTTTGCACTTTTTCATGAATTTTGACATCTTTTTAGGAAAAAGTACTTTTTAACAATTTGGTACTTTTAGATTTTTTTGCCTAAAATGCCTTAAAAAGTGTTGTGAAATGATTTTTTTTGTAAATAATTAATAGCTATTAAAGAATTTTTGTACTTTTTCATGAAATTTGAAACCTTTTTAGGAAAAAGTACTTTTTGTCTTTTGGTACTTTTTAAAATTTTTTGCTTAAAATGAGATAAAAGTGGAAAGAAATGATTTTTTGGTAAATAGTTAATATTTAGTAAAAAATTTTTGCACTTTTTTATGAATTTTGAGACCTTTTTAGGAAAAAGTACTTTTTGACTTTTTGAGATAAAAGTAGAAAGAAATGATTTTTTGGTAAATAGTTAATCACTAGAGAAGAATTTGTGCACTTTTTCATGAATTTTGAGATCTGTTTTAAAAAAAATACCTTTTGTCAATTTGGTACTTTTTGATTTTTTAGCTTAAAATGCCTTAAAAAGTGTTGTGAAATGATTTTTTGTAAATAGTTAATCACTAGAAAAAATTCTTTGCACTTTTTCATGAATTTTGACATTTTTTTAGGAAAAAGTACTTTTTAACAATTTGGTACTTTTTGATTTTTTTTTGCCTAAAATGCCTTAAAAAGTGCTGTGAAATGATCTTTTTGTAAATAATTAATAGCTATTAAAGAATTTTTGCACTTTTTCATGAATTTTGAGACTTTTTTAGGAAAAAGTACTTTTTGTCAAT